TCAGTGCTTATCTAAGCCCTGATAATTGTGTAACTATCTACATTTAAGGTTTAAGCCATTAAGTTCGTCTGCGAGCCACGGTATATGTTTACCCATTGCCCTTGTTTTAAACCACATATTTTGCCAATTTTCTTAATCCAGAAGCCATTTATTAATCGATTATCTTGATTATCATATTTACATGTATTCAACTTATATTTATCTTCACTTTCCAATTGTATATTTAATCGAATAGGAATATATGAAATATAGTTACGTGGTCATAGCCGTTGTTACGCTATTTTAAGTCGAGTACCTCGTAACCCTGGGCTTAGATGCAGGGCATAAGTTGCAGAGTCTTGTTCTGAACGTTTCATTTGATTAATTGATTGACAGAATTAGACGTAAATTGTCCCTTTATAAGTTTATAGAAAATACGGGGCATAGACCAATGCTAGAGTTCAATCAAAAACTATTGCGTAGCGCTTTGCTGGTCGTATAATGTCGACACGCTATTAGGAATGCTGAACAGGATTATATTAAGATCTACATGTCAGTGATCCTTCAACATAGAGGTATAAAGCTGAAATTCAAAAGAAACTCTTCAAACTGATAAAAATTACTAAACTGTTGATAATAATAAGGAGGATGAAGTAATTTCAAACAGAAAAAATGGAATTAACTGATAGAATCTCCTGTTTTGAATACCAGTAACCCGATTAAAATTTGTTATCATAGGATGTCATATTGACTGTATGACATTTGTGTTGTAAATCAGTGAAAACTCGGTTTTTGTTGTTGCTTGAAACATCGTTACAAGGACATGTCTCCAAGACAGTGTCATCATAAAAAAATCACTCCAACACAAGGGATTCAACAGACTTTTGAAAATAATTTAATACCCCAACCGTTTTAAATTATATTTTATATAGACATGCAGTTTACTCATATATACTCGCATATTTCGTTTATTTCATTCGATTCAGCAATGATGTTCCTTTATAAGAAACGTGGATCATAATTACCTTGCACCTTACTCTTTACATTATTTATATATTACATTTCCCCCTCACGAACTATCGTTTTTCGACTGGTCTTTTCTTCATTAGGGAAGTAAACTATATGACCGATAATCGCTGATTTCCACTGGCGAAAGGACGTCACTTATGGTTTTTGCTGGAGTAGGTAAATTTTATACATGACATCGACAAACAATTTCCGGATATCAATATGATCTACGTGTATAGCCAAAAATGTATCGGAAACAGTAATACCTGAAAGTTTTTGCCATTTGGGGAATTGGTGTTTGTGGAAGATCTTTGATACACAGTCTATGTTTTTTTTTTTATCTCTCTCACTCGAGTCGGTCTAGAGCTTGAAATAATATGTAGACATCTCTGTTTTATTGAAGACCTCTAGATGGCTTTGCTTCATCTTTTTATTTTCTTCATTTTATTTAGTATTTGTTCGTTTTTCATGCATAATATAATTATTTATGTACACATTGTATTATGGAGAAGACTTCATAAGTATGATTTACTTGTGTCTCATCAATTTGGCTTAGATTTAGCAAACAAAATATGTTTAAACTTAATCTAAATGGATTGATAGATTTTTTTTTTAATTTGTGGTCCGGTTGCTCTCATTGACGTATATCCAACCTCTTATTTTATGCATATCGCATTACACAAAACAGTTAGCTATATAAAACAAAAAAATAAAAGTTGTATTAAAAGCAAATACGGTTAGATGAAACCCAAAACCAGAGCAGATCTCCAAAAGTTAAGTTCTGTCCAGGTTGTCTCGCTATCTATATGTATTATGTTATTAACGCCAATAACTGAATAGGTCACGGTTTGTTACAAACGAAAGAAAGAGCATCTAAAATTTGCTTGTGATGTTTTTCGTTTAATGTCCACCTTCTACTTTCAGGGGGTGTGTTTTTTTTATTACTTTTCGGGTGTAAAGAATGAGAAGAATATGTAGCTGTTAAGATATCGTTATGTACTTCGGGTTTATAAATCTCGAGGTATTGAATGTGTCTTCAATTACTAAAGACGCTTAACGCTGTTTAAGCTTTTAATCCTGTTGTAACAATTAAATAATTCCCGAATTGTAAAGAAATCCTGGCATGGGATATCCGAAATATTTAGAATATCGACTTTAAAAGGGTTGTTTGTGGCCACTTGGTACGATTTATAAGAGATTATCTTTGATCTCCTATTTTCGGTTCAGATCTTACCATTTTGTTCACTTTGCTAGCATTTATCATGTTTATACTGAACAAACCGTCTAAATTTGGGTAAACAGTTCAAAAATAGATTTATTAATTGCTTTTGGCAAGATACGCGTATACAAATATATTGAAATGATTATTTCATCAACCATTTTCCCCATTCTCTTTTCAAGCCTTTGACAAAAAATATCAGTAGGTGTTTGGTATTGATAGCATCAATTCTGAAAGCAGAAATAGATATCTTCAGTTCTGCTCCCTCTATCGATTGAATTTTCTGTTACGCAACCGAGAAACTTTCTTTCTGTCAGTCATTGATCAGACTCGTGACCTTTTATTCAGCGAGACCATATCACGACTATACTGTATGATCAATACTATAAACGTAGTAAAGTGCTGGCAGGTTGCCAAGTAATAGATTACGTATACGAATACGTAAAAAAAAAGGGGGTGTACAATTCATGTCTAATTTCTGATGTTTACCAGGCGTTTTTAGTTAGACGATATCTGCAAGACATTTGGTTGTCATATATTTATTCAATGTGAAATATATTGAAAATCAATTCGAATTAAAACGTTGCATCATCTGTCTGATGTTCACGTAGCGTTAGCAAATCAGTCGATCTATATATTGATCGATGAAAAATGCGTACACTGTTTGATTCTTATTAATTAAAGATCTCTAATTATTTTTGATTTGTTTTTTTTGTATAATTCATGGCAATTTGCCAGTGTTGTGTCATAAAGTATCCTATCATAAGATCTCGCTGTAAAATTATAAAAATGTTTCAGACGAAGAATTCACAGCTATGGGATCTTATCCAAATAACTAATAGTATTATTGTTTATGTTTTAAATCGTGATAATTCCTATCATGTTATTTAGCAATCTAAAAAGGTTGTTTGTAATAAGTTTCAAACAATACCAATAACATTAGTTAAACGTTCATAAAATTTCCAGAATTGTTTGTTTCACAAGAAACAATAAATAATTTTAAATCCGGGTTTTTGCAATGACACAATTGTTGCTTTAGGGATACCCCTAAAAAAAGTTTTATGTTGTTACCTCTACACAAGTTTTACCATTTGTATGTGTTAAATTAAAAAGCACCAGGTACCATACAACATTGTATCAATGAAACAAAAGCGCTTTTGAATCGGTTATGCAAGTATTTATAATCTATGGAAGAGGGGCAATACATGTACGTCAAAAAAGAGAAACTTCCAGTATTGTGTCTGGCTTCATCTTTAAAATTGTTGATAGATAATATTCTCTTATGTGGTCCATGTTCTCTTCCCAGTACTTCTGTTTCAGCAGGTTTCTCCCTAAATCAAGGTCATTATTCCTGAACTGATGAACATTTGTATGGAGACATAATTTATTTTATTTATTTTCTGAACTGTCCTGTTCAAAGTAGCATCAATATTATAATGTACAATGTTGTATCAACTGAACCCAGTTATAATTTCATAGCAAAAGTTTAAAACTTAATCTTGACTTTTTTTCACTTGTTCTTATTTTACATGTAGCCTTAAATAATAAATTGAGGCATTACTTTTGTTTTTCATCACTCTGTTATACTTTTCATGACCAGAAATGGTGAGTCTTCTAACATTCTTAGTGAGCTCCCTGTGTTTGTCTTGGTCTTCCTTTCTTCAATCAACAAGACAACAGACTTGCTTGTTTTAAGCATATATGCATGAATATAAATAAAAACTTAAGTAGGTCAATGGCATTTCAATGAGACGGAAACCCATTAACACAATAAACCAAGAAAATAAAAGGGAAAGCATTTTTTAATTGCTTTTTTGGTGAATAAAAATACTGTCTTGTGTCCATGTAGCTGTGAAAATGTAATTGATGCCTTACTTGGTTTTGAAATTAATTGGGATATAAATTTTGACTCAAAACTTCTTTTTCCATGTATTTTAACTGTGTAGATTTTTTAATTTATTGAAGAGGTGTGAAGACTACCTGATTCCAGACTTGTTCTGTATGGTTCAAATGAATAGGAAAAGCAGTCTTAATTTGTGTAGTACAAATTCAGAATGGATCATCAGTATGAAATATTGTAAAAAAAAATTCAAATAATTCAGTATCATTTTAAATGGTAGAATTGTCTAAGCAAAGAAAGTCTTAAGGGTTTAAATATGTTGTGGTTCAACTGTTTTAGACTGATAGAAATTTATTATCCATGTCTTCCAAGTTTATTCAGGTTTTAAAATGAAGTGACTACCTGTATGTGATGAGTTATTCTGTATAGTATAACTGTACAAACTGTACAGGACTCTAGTCTTATTTTGTGTTGTTCAAATGTACACAATCCCTGTCTCATTTATACAAATTTTGAAGAGATGATCAGGAAAAGTACAAATATGTGTTCGTTTAGTCTAATTTTCATCAATCAAAATTTACATAGGATACAGATACTTAAATTTTGTATTGTACACATGTATATAGTTGTCACATTGGCACTTATACCACATCTTCTTATTTCTATATACATGTAGAAAAGAATCACTGTAATAGTCCAAATAAACATATAGTCTACATGTAGGTTTGTACTTTGTACAAATGTAGCAGTCAAGTCTGATTTGTACAATGTACATGTATAGTATAAATGTAGATCATCAGTGTCTGGTTTTGAATTGTGTATATGTAGGATCATATCTCCTTTTGTATTGTACTTTAGAACTGTATAATGATGTATAGAGGTACACAATTATTATAGTCTTACTTGCAAAAACAACACATAACTGTATTTGAATTCAAAGAACAGTAACAAAAGTTAATATTTATACTTTTATTTTTAAATCTTTTGGATCCTTCCATTTCTTTTTTCTTTATAAAAATAAGTTATATACATTACAAACAAACACAAAGGATTTCTCCCAAATAAATTAGACACACCTTACTAAGCTGCTTATAAGCAACACACAGAACAACTCTCACTTCATCATTAATATCACTCCGAACAATTTTTGTAAAATGGCTCTTTGCTCATACATCCATCTCCTATTATACCTCAGTCTCAGTTTTATCTTGCACACTACAGTCATACACACGGCAAAATTCTGCCAATAAATATATGATTTTATATTTACAAAATGAATGATCAATGATTTGAAAAATCCATAAAAATGATTTAATGAGAACTTTTCTGGCAGGCAATCTTGTATAATTGTTGCATAAATTACAAATTTTAAAATGCAGATCCAGATTATAAAATCTGTTAAATATAAATTGGAAAATGTTAGTTTAGTGCCAAATTGCTACATAGGAGTAAGTCAAGACTCCAAGTTGTATCTAAAATCAATGTGAATGTTAAATACTACAGTACATTAAATATTATCAAGAAACTTAGTTTCTCCGTTGTAAAATCTACTAAAATTGTCTATCTAGGGTATAAACCAAGTCGTAATTTTTAGCACCAGTTTATACAAAATTGAATTTTACACTTATTGACAACAAAAGTACAAATGTTTCACATGCATTGAAATGGCAGTGGCAAATAAGTTCTCAGAACTTATATCATAAATAAATAAATAAAACAAGTCCTATGAGCATGTCATCTTTGAATAGCACAATAAAATTATGCCAGACTTTGGCAAATTGTTTGATTAATCCCTGAGCATTGGAATGAGTGAGTTTATTGCATTTTCTGTTGCACAGAATATTGACTAAATCTATTGTCTTAAATTTTTGTCACACGCTTTCTTGACTACTCATTGAAACAGTGTCTACAGAATTTCCATGCTGGCAAGAACTATTGTTATTATTTCCATGTAAACTAAGTTTTTCAACTGGCAACTGTGGAGTTGTTGCTAACCATGAATGATTTAAAATGTCTTCAAAAGATGGCCTATCTGATGGACGAATTGCTAAACACTTTTTAATCAAGTCTTTCACATCATGTGATAATCTTCCTCTAAATGACACTTCTGCTTTCATGATTTGTTCATCTTGTTCAAATGGAATATCTCCACAAACTAAGTCAAATAATAAAATTCCCAATGACCACACTGTTGCTGACCTACCATGGTATCTATGGTGTTTTATCCATTCAGGAGGACTATACACTCTTGTACCTGAAAAATAAAGATATGACAATTAAGAATAAATTCGAACTTTTCTGATGCATTTCTATACATACATGTAATTAGAGTTCTACATGTATTTATTATTTTGTCTCAATTTGATAACCATCAATCAACTAAATTCTTACTGACGAAAATGAAGCGAGGTGTGAAGTGTTGTCACAACTCATCCTTTACATTTAAATACTTGAAGTAAAGGACACACCTGAATGTCACAATTAAAGGACATATGGTCATAAGAAAGCCTGACAGATGATCAAGTTTTTCACATATTAATACCCTTAATGTAATTTGTGATTGTAAAATTTACTAATTACACCATTTATTCATATCTAATAGCCAAAGTATTGATTTAAAAAACTCAGGTAAATGTTTTGACACGCATGACTGCTCACAGGTATGCAAGGAGTTCTTGTGAACCAACTTAAAAATGTCCCACATAATCAATCCCCTGTTGACTTGTTACAAATTATAAAAACATTTAATTTTGGGTTGATAGCAACCAGTCATAATGGCTAAAGCTTCAAATATAATAACTCAATGTCATAACTTGTTATGCACTGTAATTTAAACCTAGTTATTAACTTTGTGTAAACAATGTATGCTATGTATAATTTCTCTACTGAATATATGAATCATTGCCAAGTTATTCTGAGACACATGTGTGATCATTTATGCTGATATTTTCAGCAGCAGCTACTGTGTAATTGATATGTTTTGCCAGCCAATGTAAAGCATTCTTGCCATCTCCCATATTGGGATCAATTAATATGTGGAGGCGGATGAACTTTTGTACTAAATCAAATACTCAATATTCCTATAACACTTCAACAAAATTGAATCTATTTAAGATGCTCACCATCAAATGTCACATATACTGTATCTTTGAGCAATGTACCAGATCCAAAGTCAATTATTTTCAGTTCACCAGTTTTCAAATCCACTAAAATATTTTCATCTTTAATGTCTCGGTGTACAACACCTGATCTATGAACATTATATAGAGTCTCTACTATTTGTCTAAAGAACACTTTGCTGGTTTCTTCATTAACAGCGCCCTTTTCTGTGATATAGTCAAATAAATCTTGAACATGCTCTGGACGTTCCATCACAATAACATAACTGTGAGCACTATTGTTTTTCACTTCATACCAATCTAACATTTTAATACATCCAGAAACATGAGAAACTTTTTTCAAGAGAATAATTTCCATTGGTATATTATGTCCATTATGAAGTCCCCATTCAGTCACTTTGTTTTTGTTGATTAATTTAACAGCAACCTGTAAGATATATCAAATTTGTTAACAATAGTCAATAATGTTTTCATGTTTCAAATCTTACTAACTTATGTTATGTGTTTAATTTTCTCTTTTTTCATTTCTATTCATCTTTAATATGAAATAAATGTTTTCTACTATGTAACTTGTTGTAAAAGTTAAAACACAGAACAATATTATTTTTGTTTTGTTTTATACTTACAGGTAGTCCATCACTTCTCCTAGTGCCTCCATACACTGTTCCAAAACCACCACTTCCCAGCTGTGCACCAACATTATATGTTTTATTGAGCTCTTCTTTCCCTTTTACTGAAAATAACAATAAAGACATAGATAAAAACATAATGTATAAACAACAAAGTTACGTGGCATCAAGTAAAGATGTAATGTACAAACTCGACATATTTCACCGAGATTCAAAAAAGAAAAACAAACTTACTCTGCTCTTTCTTTTCTCCCGGGTTGTTATTATTAAACAACTTTCTTCCCAACATTATGATATTTGAATATTTCACTTATTTAACATCCACTGTATCCTTAAAATAATAGGTATCCACTAAGCAAATCTCAAGAAGACATCCCTGTTGACACGACAGAATATACAAATGTTATGAGATTCGAAGTTGTGTGTATAGTATTAATGTTAACTATCAATGTGCTATAATCAGGACACGATTCGTGCGCTAAGGCACATCCCACTTGGACAGATGCCAGATTTGTGTTTTGAAAAAGTCTGTTGAAATATTTTATTATTTATATCATTACAATTTCATACAAAATGCTGAATTAACTATCCCGAGCTATGAAAAATATTATTAGCGAGGTATAAGTAAAATAAAATTGAATGCAGACAGAGAACTATATTACGTTGTAGTGATATGTCTGATTGAATGTGTTATAAATCTGGCCGGCTGCCAAATAATCGCTTGCCGCTATTTTTTACCTACGAATATATTAACCAATCGGTAATACTCCCGCGTTTCTTATCTAGTAACAACCAATCAAAAGCACCATAGTTTACAATACGCCTCGAAACGTAAACAGAACAGCGTGGTAAGGTGAATGAGTAACATAAACAAAACATTATAGCGGGATATAAGCGAAAATTCCTAACATATTTTAAAGGCCTTAGTTTTTGAACTAAACGACTGAAACGAAACTGAAAAATCTATTTTAAGACAATATCTTTTTACATTTTTTCTATGTAAACCATTATTTTTACAATTAAATACTGATTCACTGACATGACATGGAGGGAAAACGCCGAACCAAAATTATGTGGGGTCAACTTTTAGAATTTTAAAAATGTAATTTATATATTCCATGTATTTGTGTGTACATTTATTGATATATTTATATTAATTGTACACAGTTAAAAAAAAATAAAACCCATTTGAATAAAGAACGCATATTCTAACACCCTTGTTTCAATATTAAAGGTAAGTTTCTTGTGTTTTTCATCTAACTCTGCTTGAAATCAAGACCCTTTATTTGTCTTTTGTTTCAACGATAAGCCCTCAAAGCTACATACATATTTCATATCTGAAGAAATGTCCAGTAATCACACTTTTTTTTTAATTTCATACTGCCGATTTTATTTTATATTGAATTTAATTTTTCTACAAAGCTACATAACGTGTTTGAACACAGATTATATTTTATTGACATAATTATAAACGCGTCCATTAGTTTAGAAATGACCTAAATTTTCAACTTATAGTAATACATTTACCCATCGGACTCGGTTTAGAAATTTTTTTTAACAAGCTTCCTGATTCGGAACAAAAATAACTTTTATTCCTTCTCAGATCGAAATACAAATAAAACTTCCCCGTTTCTATTACATAATTTCTGTTGATTTATGAAAAAAATATTGCTGTTTTTAGTCAAGATTTGCCTTTAAGGAAAATATCACATTGATTTACCGGAAATATTTCCCAGGGGGCAGAAGATATTGTAATATTGTTATTTGATATTAAGGCCAATTTGATACTGAAGGTGTGAACATATTTTTCCTGTTGTGTAATGTTTCCAAAGGAAACTTACAATAGTCCACAATTAAAACACATTTCCAAAATATAGCTGAAAATTTATGTATGAAAAGAATGGTCGTAAGCTAAATACACTCAATCATGAATATAACTACTTTAAAATGGGGGATAAGACTAAATATAAAACAAATTGATCACTAAATTTATAAGTATATTGACCATTAAATATGAGAATAAGAACTTGGAAAGGAATATAAGTTGATGTAATATAATTATTTTCTTACATTGTCTGTAAGCGAAGAATATTTTACATGTAATGGGAGGTAACTGCTACATAAAACAATCAAATGCACAGATGAGTTGTCTGCAGATAGCAAAAAAACGTTGAGATAATTTTTCTTTGACAGACAGCAATCTCACGAAAAACAGAAATAACTAATACTTCTATAATGCTAATCGTTTCGACACTTCTCACAGTAGGACATTGGTAACACCCATATGCCTTTAAGTCATTTAGTGGCCGAAACACGTTAAAATTTGAATTAAAAACACTGTATCTATTTTCTGACATTTTAAGTGTTTCAAACCAGAAAGTGAAAAAGATTTACGAGTTTTGATCGCTTAAATGTTTGCTTTGTTAATTTGAAAACACCTTGGCCCAAATTTTTATTGTTTTCAATATTTTATTCACTGTTTATTCAAAATACACATAAATTTACAAATAACATAGAAGCGAAATGAGTAGAATACATAAAATACGACAATATAAATATTTTTTTATTGACAAAACTAAATGTATACTACATCTATTGACCAGATCGTAAAAGTCCGTGCAATCTGTAAAGTTTAAATAACCACGTGATCACATGAACACAATAAAATGATAATGGATAGTAACAAAAAGTGTAACATATATAAATATTCATATGTGATGATTTACAGAGAAAGCAGTAGTTTTTCAACCTTTTGAATGAAAATAGAAGGGTTAGTTAATACATTTAGTTGCAATATTTCAACATTCCATAAAGTTTGTTGATATTTGGGTTGATTCTGTAGTAATTAGGAATATATGCATTTCTTACTTCAATAACATCAGCATTGTTACAAAGCGCTATGTAATGATACTCATCTCCAAGACCAGTCTTACAAAGCTTACATTTTCTTTCAATTTCTGGAATTCTATTCCATCTCCCCGTTTCGATAGGAAATTTGATATTGCAAGTGCGAAGTTTGCAAATATAGAGACTACTAAATTTTCTAAGTCTAATTAGATAGGGTTCCATACAGAAGTCAGTCTTAAATTTTGAATAGAACTCCCCCTTTGATGAGTTATCGATATCCGAAAACCATTTTTGTATGAACTGGTCATGGAGTCTTTGTTTAACGTTAATTTTTAAATAATTCAAATTAACGTTTCCTTGTACATGCCAGATTTCACTGTTACCAGTTTCATCAAAAATAGATTTTACATAATTAATCCACTTAAAAGAATTATTTCCATTTTCAAATAAATTAAACATAAGCTTGTAGAGTTTTCCAGACAGTTTATCAACATTTGTTACAAGTTTGTACCAGAAAAAAATCATTTTCATCTTTATACTAATTTCGATAGGAAATCGGCCAAGGTCACCATAGACCATGAAATTTGCGGTCGATGACATAACCCCCAGAATTTTTTTGCAGAACTGTAAATGTATCTTCTCAATATTCATCTTATTTTCATATCCCCAAATTTCGGAGGAATAAGTCAAAATAGGGGCTACCAAAGAATCAAATAGTTTTATCTGTAAATCTAAAGGAATACTAATATTATTAATTCTCTGCTACTGACTGTATAAAGCTTTTTGAGCTTGATCTACTAATTTGTTTCTGGCTTTACAAAAATTACCATTATAATTAAATAACAAGCCAAGATATGTATATGTATCTTGAATAAAAGATTACTATCAAATCTCAATTTCATCATTACACAGATTAAATTTGAATTTCTTATTACAGTTACGTTTAGAAAAAATTACAATTTTTGTCTTTGAGACATTGACCTTAAGTTTCCAAGTATTACAATATTTATCAAAATTTAAAGTATTTTGTAAATCTTCAGCAGTATCTGCAAAGATAACTGTATCATCTGCATTTAGTAAAATGAACATTTTCAAATAAATACCTATGCTATGTATACATTCTGAATCTAGGTATTCTAAACCATGGCCCAAATGTTGACTTAAAAAGTCTTCTAAATCATTCAAGTATAAGGCAAAAAGAAATGGAGATAATTTTTCTCCTTGCCTGTCTAACACCCGTTTCACATGGAAAAAATGCAGTTTTCAAATTATCAAGTTTAACACAAGACTTAATATCTGTGTACATATTCTGTATCAACGTTAACATTTTCCCTCTGATGTTATTTTTTATAAGTTTTTGGAAAAGTCCGGCCCTCCAAACGGTATCAAACGCCCGTTTAAAATCCACAAATGCACAGTACAATTTCCTTCCGGCAGATAAATATAATGTAATAATAGAATGTAAAACAAACATGTTATCTTGGACAGAGTATCCCTTGCGGAATCCACCTTAACAATACCACCAGATCTTTTTTTAAATTTGGAACGATGCTTCGAGAAGTACAAATAACCCTTTGGTAATTCTAAGATGTCATGTTTATCTAATTTGGATTCCAGTAAGATTAATATGTCATAAGATTCTATAAGTTCAATAAACTCTGGGTATTGTAGTTTACATTTCAGACCACAGACATTAAAACTTAACACTTTAATGTCACTCGATTCTCTGTCAACCGGACTGTCAGTACCGCTCCTGTTATCGTGTCCCTATGTAGATCCTGACTGAAATCCTGGACCGGCATGATGTCCTGGAGGTGGACCCCTCGGAAGAAATCTCTCTCGACTGGGAACAAATCCAGGTTGCGGTTCATGTGTATATGCATCCTGTCGACTGCTTGGAGGATACGGAGCTTCATGATCATTATACAGTTGATTTCCAACATAGAGTTTATCTAACACCAAACGCACATTTTGGCGACCTTCTCTCTTCAGTGCTATCATTCTGGGGATCAGCTCTTTCCTGCAGTTGCTGATTTCAGCTGGGTATTGTTGAAAAACAGCCACATCTTTTTTTTACCTTTCAGGTGTTCATAGACAGCAGATCTGATCATCTCGCGGTCAGAATATTTTACGAATTTTGCAATAATATTTCTAGGTTTGCCATCACCCCTTTGTTTGAGCCTGTGCACGTTCTGAAACTGAATTGTCTCACTATTAATGTTAAGTTCATTAGCAATGAATTCTTTGATAGTATCTTCTACTTTTTCATTCTGTCTCTCACTGCTTTCCTTAATACCACTAAATATAAGGTTATATTTTATTGAGTGTGCCTGCATCTCCAGTAACTTTTCTTTCAGTTCAATATTTTCATATTGAAGTTTGTCATTCTCAGCTTCAAGACCAGATACCCTAGTTTCAACGATATTGTAATGGAACTCTTCATTAGTTATTCTTTCTGATTGTTGTTTCATATCATATCTGATGTCTTTGATTTCAGTTTTAACAATATTAAAATGAGATTCAATGGATGCCATTCTAGAGCACAAGTCATCCAGCATGTCGAGTTTTGCTAATCTGC